TTTGTGCCTGCACAAGTTTGTAGGGTAATCTCCAAACAGAAAATGTGTTTTAGACAACATAGTGTGAAACATACACCCACAATACCAAAAGTATTTATAATAAAATGTTTCCTATCATAAATGTAATGTGAGAGCAAACTCCCATATGTTAATGAAATGTGTAACAATATTACTTTAGAAGCAATGTTATCTGAGAGATTACTAACAATGACTTGATCTATGGGTCAGCTATACATAAACAGGAAAAACAGCTAAATATTTAATAAACAAAGTTGAAGGATAAAGTCTCCACTGCTAAGCGTTACTTAGATATACCGATTCCTGGCTTTTGATAGTTTTTTTGGAATAATAATAAGGAAGATATAATCTTTGGAAATGATAAAATTACTAAAGATTGAATGCAATATAAAATGCAATATAAAATGTAATTAATTTATATGCTTTAAAAATAATGTTTGCTTAAAATTCACAGACTATCGTCAACAACCTCTCTTATCGTCAACAATCTCTGAGCCTAGATAACTGCTACTACTGAAAAGTGAAATTCATGCAAAAATTGAATAAAGGTCTACCCCAAAATCTGTTACTATTTTTAAACAAAACGAGAAAAGGAAAAGAGCGTTTAACAATAAAAATTTCTTTTTTGCTAATGAAATTTCAGCTGATAAACCATGACACTCCAGTGTTCATGCAGTTGGGAAGCGATCAGCCCAAGAGGCAACGTGAAGGAATGAAAGAAATTTGTAGAACAGGAAATACAGAGAAAAGGAAAGGCAGAAGGTGCCTGGAACTTAGGCGTGAAGCGGGTCATCCTCGAGGATCCATGTACACGTACCTAAAAACCCGCAGAGGGGTTTGTGGCCCGACTCGAAAATCCAAATGAGTGGGGAAAATGCAGTGGAGGAGTGAGCGGGGCAGGCAGCTAAGGAAATGTTTCGTTCTCAATATCCTGCTCATTGAGAGTGTTTTGTTAACTTAATTCTTCATTACAGTTTTATGACTTAGCATTCATATATAGATGATATAACTCATGGACCTTATTCTGAAAAACTAGCCTTGAATGAATAAAAGTTGGCCTGGAAATGATTTTAGTAGGGAATTTAAGTCGTTAAGGAACGATGTTACTTGTGTTCTCTTTCATTGCTATGAACATGCAATTTAATAACTACTGAGCACAAGACACTCAACACTTCCAAAAGAATTAAAGTAGGGATTCCCACCCTTTAACAGTAGGTAGCATTTCATTTCTAACTGATTGGCTGGAGCTTGATTACATCCTGATTACCACCAAAGGGTCGGGGAATAAATCCCCTCCGTACACAAACTAGGTTGACGATGCCTCCAGTTTCAAGCAGTAAAAGCCCAGGTTAGGGCTTCTCTTCCCTTCCCAGGTTCACACAAGGACTTTCTATCCCTAAACCTTGAGAAAGTTTCCCAGTCCCCCCAGCCTGCTTCTCCATCTGCGCAGTGGAGTTCGTAATACTTAGCTATGAAGCCTACAGCATTAAACAAGGTGGTGGGGCCCTTTCCCCAGGTGTAGTCAAACCCCGTGAGTTAGTGTGATCTGCAGTGGTGTTTCCCCCCTCTCTCTCTTTCAGTAGCTTTTCTTGTTGAAACGAAATGTGCTCCAAGCAAGGAGAATGTTTTCTCGGAAGTCAAGATGTTAGTATCTAATCTGCTGCTTTTGTCAGTTTGGCAAAGGTGAAGCTCACAAAATGTACAGAAATATCTGATTCATTAGGGGCAGCACAGTGCACTCTTCAAGGCCGCCCTGATATGAATTTGAAGTAGAATTGCAGAGTTGAATGATATTTCAGGCCTAGCTTGTTTTAAACAGACTCACTATATAGGAAGAGTTTTGGATATACCCATAGATAAACCTTTTTTGTTTTTAGATTTTTCCGTCCACATTGTAATATGACATTGAACCTAAAGAGCTACTGACTTTTTCCCAGTTGATCCCTCATTTTCATGATCATCACATTAGTTTTTGCTGTAGAAACATGCAAAGCAATGTATCAGTATGAATCAAAGTTTCTAGGCAATGTATGTTCCACTCCCCAGCTAGAATAAGAGCACTTTCTGGCTAGACATAGCCCATAGATATGTGTGTATCTTGATTAAAGAAATCGGTAACAAAGAAAGAAATTAGTATTTCAGTTTAAGATTACCAAGCAGTAGCATTGTCTTTTCTTGCCTTTGGATGACACAACATGGATAGATCAAGGAAACTGATGTCACGCATGTGCCTCTGCCCTTGCTAGGAAAGTGACAGGAAATCACCTACTCAAATTTGAGGAAAGCTAGTATGCAAATTGTGAGTAATCTCAGTCATTCCGTTTTGTGGAGCTTCCTGTCCAGTGCTTAATCCTGTTTTCAAGTGGAATTATTAAGGTTTAAAAACGTAATTGAAATCATCTGCAGAAGCTATTTGGTCTGTTGCCTCCCAAATGCATTAAAAATATCCCCTTTGTGAGGTGTCTTGGAGGAATGTAGAAATTACAAGGCGAGTGAGAGCCACTGCTGGAAACACTGGGCTGTGTCTTCCTGTGATGTTGAAGACAATTACTGGAGGTAACTACAACCCACATTTCTTTCAGAATCATTTCTGAAGAACAGCTGAAAATGCTGCTAACTCTAAGAGACTCAATCTGTCAAACTGCATTAAAGTGACACACTGTTAGTGCTAGTTCAACCTAAAAAAATCCTCCTATAATAAAATGCTTTATATAAACTCAAAAAAGTAGGAAGCTCATAGTTCTTTCTACTAAATTATCCAGTATTTGAAGCCCACCAGCGAGGGATGGCATGGAAATGGTAATCTGACTCCCTGGAGTGGCTTACTAATGGTTGCTTAATACTCATCTATAGATGTGTTTGCTTTCATGAATGTGCCTAAAGACCCAGAAATGACTTTTCTCCAAAGCAGGAAAAAGGTTTAGAAAAACCAGATGTAGTTAAAAAAAAAAAAAAAAAAAAAAAAAAAAGGTGAAGAACAGAAATTTATTTTCCTTGCCTGCCTTCCAACTTTTTCCTGGATCTCATAGAAGTGTGAGCATCAAAACACACATGCGCACGCACTGAAGAGTTTATAAAGAGGATTTAAAGTGATTTTTAAAAAGATGAGTGTGGCAAACACTGAAGCCAGGCCTCCTACCCTCACATGCAGAGTGGCCAGAATCAAGTCTTCAGAGAGAAAGCCTGGATTGTATTTATAGCATATAAATGAGGTGCAGAGCAGATGAAAGTATCTGTAATATTTCATACGCTCCTGAAACCTGATAAAGAAGCACAATCAGACTTTGCAAAGGTCAGAGTGGGGGAAAATAAAAGCCAGCATGCTGTTCTGATGATTTACTATTTGATCAGATTCCCTACTTTATCTGATCAAATTGTGAGAGCTCTGTTCAGAGGTTTCTGTCATTAGAGAGTTCGTAAAGGTGAGGTGGACGCTGTCAATTGCTCCCTCTTTATCCCTTCTCAAAGCCAGAGATAAAAGGGAACCTTCCTGAAGAGCAGAGATGTCATAATCACCGTTCCTAAGATCTCAGTTCTCCAAGCCGATGAGCACACATGGGCGGATGGAATGGCCATCCACACGGGTGTCTGAAGAGAGCTCTGGCACTTTGGAGTCGCTTTCCACAGCCCATTTGGCTCTGCACCCTCCTTCCTTAGGACGAAGCTCAGTTTCTGTGAGTTTACTGTTCAGTACTCTTCCCAGGGGAAGTCCCTGGCCTTGAGTTTAAATATAGACTGGCTCATCAGACAACCCAGCTATGCTAAAATAGAGTTAAATTTCAATGAAGAGCAAAATATACATGCAAAAAGTCTATGTCATCATGACTTTTAACCTGTGCACATCTGTGCTCAAATGTTCTGAATATCTGGCCCTAATTTCTATTTCCATCCTCTACTTTTCTTCTTCCTTTTCTGGTTCCCTGTATAAACCTCACAGTTTCCCATATGTGTAGCTTTCACATTCTATCCTGAAGTTCTCAAGAAGTCCTTCATTATTTCTTGGTGATTTCCCCATGAGAGGAAGAGATCCTTTGATTAAAACTACACAGTCAGTATTTCAGCTCTGATGAGTTGTTGAGCTGTGGTGTGGTGCTTGACTTCATCACACTGACATGTGCACCTGTATTTCTTCCTTGTGACGGGGATTGGACAGCCTCACCTCAGAGACCCTGCTCTGGTTGTTCAGTGAGGACCCACAATGCTTTGCTAACAAGTCACCAGGCGATTCGAATGCGAGTGATGCAGGGACCACTTTAAGATGCTCTCCTCTGCAGACCTCTGTTACACATTGGATTTCTGCAAAAAGATTCACAAGAAAACTTCTCTTCTCTCCCAGAATGAAAATGTCATTTTTATACTAATTCCTGGAAATTCTATTCCAGAAACCTCAGAAGGCAGATGTTTTTTACCTTCTACCGTCCTAGCTGGGTTGCAAGTATTGGGAAGGAAGATAGCTTAACATGAGTTAATAAAACTGCTATTAATCACTTTTTGAGAAAACGTAGGACTCCAAGAACATGCTGTAACTTGCATCCCTTTTGCACTGCCTCTGCCAGCCGGGTAGTTAACAGAGCCATTGTTTATAAAAAGGGCAGGTTGAGAATGAAAATAATGTTTCTGCAAAACTCAGGAAACAGTCGCAGAGTCTGTGGGCTGTGCTCCTCCAACTGGAGAATCCCGTATTTGTAATAAATTCCTTTTGCTCTGGATGAGTTCTGCATTTTCAATGAGGTGAACTTGGCAACATTCTAGTTGATTTTAATAAAAATAGCTGCTTTGAGGACAGGGTGCTGAGGTTGCCAAATTTACAGCTGCCGTGCACAATTACTCTCACACCTCCTTCAGGGCTACTTAGAACCAGTAAGCAAATTAAGTGTATCCATTGCAATTTTGTTGGACTAATCCCGCTTATTTTTTTCTTAAGGAATAAACTTGATTCCTTTTAGTATGTGTCTGTTCAGAGTGATCTCTTTTCTTTCCAGCCATAACACAAAGACAACATCATGGCTGGATCCACGACTTGCGAAAAAGGCTAAACCTCCAGAAGAGTGCAAAGAAAATGGTAGGTTATTAAGTTTTTATGGTGTTTCAGCGATGCGCTTTGAGAATGTTTGTGTTTCTTAAAAGAAGGACTCGCCTAAAGAAGCAATAATCTAGCTAAAGCAATTTCTAAAATGTAATGTTTAAGGCTCAGCTAGGGCAGAGAATTAAGTCAGCATTTCGGCGGGCCATGTGGATTTGCTTTTTCTCCCTGAGGAGACTGTGCTGGATAGCACGTCTCTGTCATCTCTGTTGGTTCTTTTTGACTCCTGGCCTCACTTTCTACCACCTATAAGGACTTTTGTTTGCAATATGTCTCTCTGAGGACTCTGCTCTTTTAGCCGGAGGCAGATATGATGCATAGAACAACACTGATGTGAACCTATAAATGATCTCTATTTTTGTGCTCACAGACATAGCGTTCTGCCAGTTACTAAGGAACCAGTTCTCGAAAGATATATGCTTTTTTGTAATCAGGCATTTAAATAAAATAACTAACTGCACGAATGTCTTAGGTTACCCTTACTGTTTTCCAGTTCTCTGTATAAATATACAGACTTGCTTAGAAATGAACTGCTTTCACATATGTGAAGAATTTTTAAAAATAATTGAGGAGACCAGAAGACTGTAAGTCTTGTTTGTAAATGAGTAAATGCGTGTAAATAAAGTCTGTAACTGACAATACTTATAATTTTTTAAAATATTGAGTTTAATGTTGTGAGTACTTAGAATTTAGTTAGAATGATAAATAGCAGACTCTCCTGATGATCTGTTTTTTTGGCCACAAGCACATTCTTTATCTGATCAAATTTTGTTCTAAGATGTCTATCATTGAGGAGCTCTGAAAGGTGACAAAAGCAATGGAGGATATTTAAACTTTTAAAACAGCTTTTAAAAAGTCAATTTTTAAAATGTCTCCAATTCTAAAACTCCTTTCATTTTCACAATAATCCTGGCTTTCTAAAATAATATTGCACTTTGTTAGGCAGCTGTTCACAGGCTAGGTACACTACCGAGTTAAAAATTTTAAAGTGACAATTTCTATGTACATGTAATACATAAAAATTGACGTGTGTAGTTTTGTATTCATAGCTACAGCTGTGTCTCTTCTGTGTTGTAATATAACTGTATGTGGTTGAATCTCATAAGACTGCTATATGAGCTGGATTTTGAGACAATTAGGTCACATCTCATTGACACCAATAAGCTATGTGTTGCAAATTGTGACTGGTTGTAAATTAAAGTGACCTGCTCCTTTATATGTGTGAGTAACAATTTACTCATACCGCAAATGTAAAACTTTCATATATCCTAATTAAAATGAGTATAACAATTTTGCAATTCTGTGACATAGTGAACTTCTCAGCTGGTTTACTCTTCTGAGTTGTTCTTTTCATTTAAAAAGCTATTAAAGTCAAGTTTTAAAATCCTAGGAGAGATGCAGGCATAACATATTTCATGGTAATAATATTTCAATGTTACCAGTTTTCTGCACACTTGCTGTTGTGAGTCTCCTCAGGATGGTAGAGGTCTAGAATATGATGCCAGTCTTTGTGAAAACTGAGTCCTAGAAAATCGTGCATGATTTACAACTGGCCTGTTACTATTTATTTCATTTTCTTCAAAATAAATATAACTCATGGGCTGTCTTCCACATATTAATACAGTGTTGCACATTGGAATAATGCTATTTTTCTGAACACATTTTAAGTTTTCTTGCCAAGGGAAATGCTTTAAGATAATATTGTTAACTATGTAACTTTAGAGAGCATGGCTTGCAATGGCTCGTTTCAGGTGTTAGACGCCCATAGTTCACTGCTGAGACTGCCCATTAAGTTAGTCTGTGTCATGCATAAGCCCAGGCACTAATTTTCTGAATGCTCCAATAAGCGTCAAATGTGTGTTTGAAAATCATGGCAGATCCAGATGATGATCTCCTCTAGCAAAAACTTGTCCTTCAGCTCAGACAGAGGCTGAAAGCGGGTCACCCTCCTTGGATCTAAACTGAGCACACAGGATGCTGGGTTGAATTCTGGTGAGACACAGCAGAGTGTTAATTTGTTCCTGTTCTCAGAGTCTTTGCCTGCCAGTTATCTCAACTAACGGGTAGGCAAACATCTGCAGAGGGCCAGGTAATAAATATTTTAGGGTTTGCAGAGTTCGCCTTCTGTTTGCAATGTCTCATTGTGCAAAAGCAGCTGAAGTCAGTATACAAAGGTCACAGATCTGTCTGCTCCAATAAACTTTTATTGATGGACACAGCAGTGTAAACTTTATATGCTTTCATATAACAAAATATTGTTCTTTGATTTTTTTCCCAACCATTTAAAAGTGTGTAAACTATTGACATGTGAGTGATATAAAAATAGAGGCAGGCTGGATTTGACCCTCAGGACAAACTCTAGTCTAGCATGTTCATGTGGGGCCTTTCCCCTTGCCCCATATCTTTGAATATTGCTCTTTTCAGGATTTTAGAACCCCAGAAAATCTAGGAAGCTTTAAGAGAGTTTCAGCTTAGCTTTCTTGCCTGTAGATCCTGCAACTTCAGAGCTTGACAAATGTCGGAGGATAATTGACCAAGTGCTTGAGATCTCAAGTGTGTGTTTTCTCACCAAAGTCCTTTGAGATTCTTTTAAGACTCCCTTCCAGATTGAACCTTGCTAGTTCCTCTGGCCTCGGGAAGTGGCCCCTTCCTACGCCAAGGTTGGACTCTGAGTTCTAAGAGCCCTAAATCAATAAAGCTGCTGTGAAACTCCTTCCCTGACCTCTCCCGGGTTCTCTTCTCTTCAGAATCTTAGAGCATCTACAGCATGGGTGGTTCTCAATCCTTTAAACTGCTTATTTTTAACAATTTACCTAGATTTTCTGCTTTCTCATGGGTTTCGGGCTACTGATTCCATCCTACCAGGAATGGAAATTTTAGTGCAGTAATTTTTAAAATGTATATCTCAAGTCTTACTAGGTGGCATATCATACATAATTGATATTAATTCCTCAAGGTTGTCACCAGTTGTACCTGTGTGCATACTGTATATGAATGTATATAAGTGTGTGTGTTTCTGTGTGTGTGCGTGCGTGTGTGTGTGTAGGAAGGTACAGATATGGATCTGTAAATGCGTGTGTCTTAAGCACTGTTTACATGGGTACCTAATTTTGGGTAAATTATAAGACAGCCAAGTGAAAGAAAGATGGGAGAGAATTTCAATTACCCTGGGGTAGGAAAAGCAACAAATGTTTTCCCCTTGGTATCATGAATTTAAAGAAAATATGCTTCGTTCAAATACATATCAAACAAGCTGCTCGCACCAAAGCACTCACCTTGCCTTTCTTTGAGGGGTGATGCGTACACCCCTAGACATACAAACACACTTCCTCCTTTTGCGGCATGGTTGAAAATACCACAGTCATGGTGCTTTGTGCTTTTGTCATAACTCTGGAGGTTTAGCACCAGCCTAGAAGACACGAAAATGTCCCCACCTACTACTTGATTCCAATATTAGACTTCGGGGGTGTGCTGTTTAGTAAGCCAATATAGTCTTACTTAAAATGCCTTTGAAATAGCAATTAACTAATAAATAATTTAGAGATAAAATTGGCTGGACTGTATAAAGCCCCATCCCCCTTGTCCCCTCAGAGTCAATGGTAAGGGATTGCCCCCGAGATACTCCCAACTGCATCCCTCTGAGGACCCCCTCCCCCAGGAACCAGAGTTAGCCTGGTGGAAATGGTCTTCTCTTAAGGTTGACGTGTGATTAAATTCAATAAGACCACACTGTGACTGAGAGGTGAAGAGATCATATAGGACTGGGAATCGGGAGAACATTGTCTCAAAGCCACACCTGTGGACTCCTCAGCAAAGCACTTAATCTCTAGGAGCCTGGGTTTCCTTACCTGTAGAGTAGGAATTGTATCCTGCTGCATGCAGATTTAGTTACATACAGGAATGCTGACTTTTTGCACCTTTTATTCTAAAGAACTGCACACTTGCTTTTTTTGGTGATCCTCAGGGCCTGGGGCAGAGTGTCCTAGGGGACAAGGGGGCAGATTCAGAGGACTCGGCTGACCTTGCAGTGTTGACGGAAATGAACAAATTCATACAAACTATAAACTTACCCATCTAGTTAATGCCAGCTTGATATTGATAGATCAGGGGTTTCCCTTCCATTCTGTAGAACTGGCCTCAACTTCTCCTGAAGTTATAGTTACATCTGTACAAACCGACAGTGTGGCTTCATTTCTCTATTTAGTACCCATGAGCTATGGATGAATTTTCTTATGTTACTACAGGAAAAAAGTCATATAATCACAACCTATTTTCCTACATAAGAACACATTTCAACTGACATTAACTAAAACCGTGCACCATTACCTAATCTAACTTTAAAAGCCAGTCTCCAAATTTCCCCTACACAATGACAGAACACATCCTGTTTTATAATATTTGTAAGAGGAGATTGGCCTTCAAAACTAGGACAAAATAGAAGGAAATACTATATAGCTTTAATTCATTTTTAAGTGAGTTTTAAAAAATTAAAATATGAAGAAATGCATTCTTTTATTTTCAGATTCTATTTCTAGTCTACATGGTCTCTCCTTAAATCGGGCCTTTGGCCTGTTTCCCATTAAATTCCTATTGTGAGTTACTTAATTTATCAAGAGAATTAACATGATCAAGTTAATTTCACATTTAAGAACTTATTTCTCTAATCTGATGGGTTTGCTAAGAATACATTCGCAAACCACTGAGGAATTTTTCCACCATTTTTGAAGGATTTATAAAAATGGACTCTAATAATATTACCTGTTCAAGGAGTAAAACTTTGAAATTATAAAGATTCTTTTGCATAGCAGTATTGAACACTCATCTGTAAATACTATAGACAATGTTGCATATTGTTTTGTTTCCTTACTGATATCTGTTATTACAGAAGTGATGAGGTGTCTAATATCTTAATAGAAGCAGTTAATTCTTATTTAGCTAACTTGTAATTATCCGCATGAGTCATGGTTTTCTATAGCAAC